GGCCGCCGACCGCGTTGACCACCTGGGCGGCCATCTCTCTGCTCGACCATCTCCGCGTCGTGCTCCACGGAGCTGGAGCTTCGAGCCTCGAGCGCCGTGGCCGCGGCGCCGACGGCCTCGCTGCCGCGGCTTCGCCTCGAGGCTCGTCCGGGCAAAGTGTCAGACCCCTTCCCGAACAGCGCGTTCGTGCTGGGCTTGTTTCCCACCGCCACCACCAGAAGTAGGAGGGGGAGGGGGTCCTCTTCTTCCTCCTCTTCTTCCTCCACCTCCTCCCCCCCTCCAACTTATAGTCGTGGTGGTGGAGGAAAACAGGCCCATCATAGCGCGTGCACCGCGGCGTTCCGCATGGACCTGGTCTCCCGCCAAGGCTGGCGGCACACGAACGTGCGCTGCGATGGCCCTGGCTGCGATGACCGGTTTGATCGTGCTGTGCCTGGCCCCGATTTCTGACGACCTCTATCTTGCACTGCCTCCGGAGCGCCGTCGGAAGGGGCCCGAGCGGCCCGCCGCAGGGCGACCGCAGTGGCTACCACCACCTTCACCGAGCCGCCTGCCCACACGAGGAGCGCCTCCGCCACCGCGTCGGCCATCGTACCGCGGCTAGTTCGAGCCAGGGAGAAAGCAGGCTCTTGAACCAAACTGGGTACTGAGAGGAGGAGGAGGAGGAGGAGGAGGAGGAGAAGAGGAGGATGAGGGGGGATCAGGAGGCAGAGGAGCATGGCGAGGCTGAGGATGAGGGGGATGAGGACAAGGCAGGCGAGGAGGAGGGGGGAGGAGGATGAGGAGGCGGCTGGAGGAGGGCTGGGTGAGGAGGGGGATGAGTAGGGATGATGACGAGAAGGAGGATTCGATATTCGAGCACGCCGATGGTGGTGTGACTGCTTCAGCTGTGGCGGAGAGAGGTCTGGGCCTCTCGCGGGAGGGACTCACAAAAACCCGCGCAGCCAGTATTGAGTCGGGCGCCTCCCTCTACAGGAGGAATGTTCAAACATAGTCAAAAAGTAGTCTGGGGACGATGTGTCACATTTTTTTTGATCATTTTTTCCCATATCCTAAGATGGGGTTCTTGTTCCCCATGTCCTAAGATGGGGTTCTTGTTATTACTCTGACGCCTCCTACTCCTCCTTCTCCTTCTCCTTCTCCTCCCCTCTCCTCCTCATACCCAGACTTACTCATACACAGGCTGACTCACACTCAGACTTACTCATACCCAGACTTACTCACACACAAAATTACTCATACTCAGACCTACTCATACTCAGACCTACTCATACTCAGACTTACTCATGCTGAGACTCACTCATACCCAGACTTACTCATACTCAGGCCTTCTCATTGTCTGACTTACTCTGCACACAGCAGATTGTGAGGATGTCTCAGGCTGGGCGCTGGTTTCAGCACCCATGAGGGGAGCCGCCGAGGGGTATGACACGGTCCCGTTCGCGGCCGTTTTGTGGGGATGTCTCAAGCGGTTTGCTCGTTTTCTGGCCCAACATCCTTCGCGTTCGGAGCAGAGTTGGAGGATGTCTCGAGCGAGGCGCTCATTTTCACGCCCCTAAGGGGAGCCGCCGAGGGGTATGACACGGTCCCGTTCGCGGCCGTTTTGTGGGGATGTCTGAAGCGGTTTGCTTATTTTCTGTCCCAACATCCTTCGCTTTCGTAGCAGATTTGGAGGATGTCTCGAGCGAGGCGTTCATTTCCCCCCCCCAGGTGGGCCAGATTTTGAGGATGTCTCGATCGGTGGCCAGACTCGTGGGCACAGATTCTCCTCAGGATGCCACAGGAGGCTCCAACAGGCTCCAGGAGGCCCCAGGAGACCACATGAGGTCCCAGGAGGCATCATGAGGCCACAGAAAGATTCAAGAGGCCACAGGATGTCCCAAGAGGCTCTAGGAGGCTCCAGGAAGCTCCGGGAGGCCTCAGGAAGCCACAGGAGGCCCCAGGAGGCCAGAGGAAGCGCCAGGAGGCCTCGGAAGGCAACAGGAGGCCCCGAGAGGCCCCAGGAGCAGGAGGCCTCAGAAGGCAACAGGAGTGGCTCCCATCCCATGCGTTTGACGTATGCTCCTATATATAATATATAATGAATGTATATATGTAAATATATGTATATAAGTATAAATATATAATAATATATATATATATATGAGAGAGCGTGATCCACCGCCGCTTTACTGTGGAAAATTGCCAACCTTTTCCTCCGAACCCGGGGTCTCCCCCCCCCCCCCCTCCGAAAATCCCCCCCCCCTCCCGCCGGAACCCCTCCCCCCCCCCCTCCGAAAACCCCCCCCCCTGCTGGACCCACCCCCCCCCCCCCCCCCGCGGCAAAACCTCCCCTACCCGAACCCCTCCCCCCCCCCTCCCCCTCCGAAAACCGGGGGGGTCACTACCGTTTTCGAACCCTCCTCCCCCCCCCCCCCCCCCCCCCCCCTACTCACCGCCCCAGCAAACGACTCCCGGTCCCCACCACCGTCCGCATCACATCCCCCACTGGTGTTCCCAGCACCACTGTCCTCACCACCGCTGTCCCCACTGGTTCCACCACCGCCCTACTGTCCCCACCAGTGGCCCCACCACTGTCGCACTGTCCCCGCTGTCCCCAGAACTGTTCCCACCACGGTTCCACTCTCCCCACTGTCTCCACGGCCCCAACCACTGCCCGACTATCCCCACTGTCCCCACTGTCCCACTGACTCCTCCGCTGTCCCACTGAGCTGTCCCACTGTTCCCACCACTGTCCCCACTGTCCCCACCACTGTCCCCACTGTACCTCTGTCCCATTGTCCCACCGCCGTCCTCTCCACCGCCTTCACCACTGTCCCCACCACCATTGTACCCTCCACTGTCCCACTGTTTCCACCTCATTCCCATTGTCCCCACACCACTGTCCCCACCACCACCGTCACCACCACTGTCCACTGTCCCCCCCTGTTCCCACCATTGTCCCCACCACAGTCCCCACCACTAACCGTCCCCGAACCGCTGTCCCACAGTCCCGCGTCCCACCACTGTCCCGGCAATCCCCCTCAACCAAGTACCCCACCACTACCGTCCCCACCACAGTCCCACTGTCCCCCCACTGTCCCCACCACTGTCCCGCTGTCCCCTCACCACTGTCCCCACCAACACCGTCCCCACCACTGTCCGCACCCCCACTCGGTTTTCGAGGGGGGGGGGAGGGGGGTTCGAACCGGTAGTGACCCCCCCCCCTTTTTATGATGAGCAGGGGGGGGGGGGGGGGGGGGTGTGGGGGGGGGGGGAGGGGTTTCGAACCGTAGTGACCCACCCCCCGTAGTGACCCACCCCGGTTTTCCGGATGGGGGGGGGGTGGGTTAGGGGTTCGAACCGGTATTGAAACCCCCCCCGTATCAGGTCGCCGCAGCCGGAGAACACGGCTCTTATCATATATATATAAATAAGAATAATATAATCTATATTATATGGGGCCTCACCTGGAGCACGAATCCTTGATGTTATACGTATGTTTCTATATACTGTCCTTCTCCTGTGTACATATGTTCCTATAGGGCCTCTCCTGGGGCACGAGTCCATGGTGTTTTACGTGCAAGTGATCGTCCCGACGACATGCTGGACGAGGTCGTCCAGCATGTCGTTGGGACGATCACTTGCAAAGTACTCGCTTGCAAAGTTTGGTGAGCCATGGTACGTCGCTGCTCGAGACCGCAGGAAATGGCGTGCGCAGGCCGAGGGCTACACGCAAGACTTCTGACTTCAGCTTTGCATGCAGATTTTCCATCGCCCACACGAATTTATAGCTTTCTGCCCACGTCCGCTTGTGGACCGATTCGATTCGACCGGGCCTTGCCTTGCCTATAGATTGCCCCCTTCTCCTGTGGCTCCAATCCGCAATGTTTTATGTACGTCTGTTGCTATAGATTGGGCCCCTCCTGGGGCACGAATCCTCCCTAGGAGGTCCCAGGAGGCCCCAAGAGGCTCCTGAAGGCCCCAGGAAGCCCCAGTAGGTTTCAGGAGGCCCCAGGAGGCCCCAGGAGGACCCAGGCTCATGCGCAGAGACGCGCTCGTACTACTGAGGCTCATTCATACTCCAATTCATCCTCAGTTAGATTCATGACCAGACCGTCACAACTGAAGCCCGTTTATATTCGAAAGCTCTTGCGCCTAGACATTCACGGCGGACAGGTCCATGCGAATAGACACAAGCTTACTCATACTCAGACCTACTCATACTCAGATCTACTCCTACTCAGACTTACTCATGCTGAGACTCACTCATACCCAGACTAACTCATATTCAGAATTGCGGGGCGCTGGTTTCAGCACCCCTAATGGGAGCCGCCAGGGGTGATTTCACGGTCCCGTTCGCAGTCGTTTTGTGGGGATGTCTCAAGCGGTTTGATTGTTTTCTGTTTCAATTACCAGAGTAGACTGTGCGGATGTCTCAGGCGGGGCGCTGGTTTCAGCACCCCTAGGGGGAGCAGCCAAGGGTGTTTTCAAGGATCCGTTCGTGGCTGTTCTGTGGGGATGTCTCAACATGATATTCGCATGTTGCGTTGCATGGCTAGACGCGCATTCCCAGATCCCACTGACAGTTATGCCTTTCAAAAAGATGCACTTATGGGGATCTCCACGCAGTGAGTAATCGAATACTTGCTGGGTACTCTTAATTTTCCGTCGGGGATCCGCCTGTAGGAGGACATGCCCGACCTAACTAACGTCAGCAGCCAGCAACTATTGGTGTCAACTATTGGTGTGAAGGCCTTACGGCCGGTGCCACCGCCCCTGGAAGAAGACCCACCCCCACGATGAAGGTGACAACCAGAGGTGTTCGGGAAGGCTGGGACCAGACGCCCCGAAGAGCCTCCCTGAAGTCCCACGGGGTTCCCAAGAAGCGTGTGACGAGGAACACGGCTTGGCCAGTTATCTGCCTATGTGCTCTCGCAGCCGCTGGGGGATGAAGAGGGAGAAGGAGGGAGAGGGAGAAGGAGGGATCAGGGGGATCAGATCGAAGAGAAGCGACTCCCGAGAGAGACGCCCCCGGCCCCCGCGGGGCCGTGCGGCGCGTCACCGCGCGCGACGGAAGACGAAGTAGAAGAGGCCGCCGAACAGGAAGGTCAGGCAGAGCGCTCCCCCATTAAAGGTGACGAGTGTGCAGAGAGATTTGCTAGGGCGATTTTTTCGTCCCCCTTTGCCTCCTTCCCTGCCCAGGAACCCGAGCATATGGTTTTCTGGATAAATCGACCTGCCTCGGGACGCCTGACGGGTCTTTTTTCTGATGGGTCGGGCTCCTGGCCAGCCATTCCTGGACTGTCGAGGGCTGGGTGGGCTCTGGTTCAGGCTGACCCCCTAGGAAATGTAATTGCAGCATTTTTCTCCCATGGGCCGAGACAGTCGGCCAAAGATGGGGAGGATAATGCAGTCTTCATGCTGACTCAATGTGCCATGTCGCCCATCGAAATTTTTGTGACTGCCAAGGGACCCTGGATGTCCCGTGGGGCGGCCCAGGGGCTGGTGCGTCTGCGGGAGGTCCCAGGGCCCACCTTTGGGCGCCCTTCTGGTCCAGCTTCGCTCCTGGGGATGTTTCGGCGACGAAAACGGCAGCTCACTGCGCGATGTGTGATGTCCACAGCGGCAAAACGACCCTGTGGGAAACACGTTCTAATGACTCGGCCGACACCTATGCCAAGACGGGTGCGGCCAAACATCTTTTGTGCGAGGATGACGTGAAGTTGTACAGAGGGTTCAAGTGCATGGTTACGGAGTCAGCGAAATGGGCTGCCGATCTGGAGGTGCACCTCCAGGGCCAGTCGGATCAGCGTGCGGACACTGTAGGCCTCGTCGTTGACGAAACAGCTGCGCCCGACGCCCACGGGCAAACCCCCGTTCCAGAGCCGCCTGATGTCTTGGGCGGGGGGACGGGGCGGAATGCGTTGGGGAGGGTGGGCTGGTCTGGGCGGAGTTTGCCACGGCTGCCTTGTATGTGAACGGGCACGTTCTGATGATTTGCGAGATTGAGTGGCGTGCCCCTTGTGTTCTGCGTGAAGTGCGGTGCCTACTGTGAGGAGCGCGAGGATGAGGGGTCTCCCGATTCCGAGGGGGAGGTGTTTTAATCGACTCTTCGACTTTGGGTCGCTCCACAACAACTCCTACGTAGGAGCTCTCTCCCGAGGGGCAGTGGAGGAGGGGCCTCTGACCCTCCGCAGAGGCGCGCCCACCCCGCTTCCCGCGGGGAGCTCCCAGCGTGCACGTGCGCGCTGGCAGCAGCGGATGCCCCGCGAAGCAGAGCACCGCGACTGCTTGCAACAAGGGATTCGCCATGGGCGGCGCGGGCGGCGGCGCGGGCTGCGGCGCTGCCCCCGCCGCGGCGGCGATCGCCTCCCCGAAGGCGTGGGGCGTTGCGCCACAGTCGGGCTGGGCGGAGGGGGCGCCGCGCAGCAGCCGAGCGCCACGCAGGAGCCGACGGCGTTCTGAGCTTGCCACCAAGTCAGCCAGGGCACCCCTCGCCGCGGAGCAGCCTGGCGGCACCTCCACCATCTCGACGCGCGCCCCCCAAGTGGCCGTCCTGATCGTCCGCCGGCACCGACGCGGGCCGCGGCGCCTCCTGCACTCTGGGCGCCGCGGGGGGCGCGACCGACGCAGCCTTGGCCGCCGCCGCCGCCGCCGCCGCAAGCGGGGGCCTTGATCGCAGACGCCTCGGCCTCGATCTCCGCGTTGTAGCCGTCGTCGGCAGTCAAAGGAGGAAAAACCATTCGGACCGGACACTTGGCGTTTACTAAACGGCCTTGGGCGTTTACTAAACAGCCCTGCCCTGTTCGATCCCGTCAGTGGGGACGTTCATTAAACGGCTTCGCGTGTCGGGGTGGTTATTATGGGGGTGGATTTTTTTGCCCTCTGAGCAGACGCCGCGCCACGAGCGCCGACGAGCGCCGCCCCCGCGCGCCAGGGGGTGCGAGGCCTGGAGGAGGCGCGGGACGGGCGCCGCCGGCGGCCTCTGCGGTCGCCTCCTGCGCCTCAGCGGCGAGCGCGGCTCCCAGCCGCGTGGGTTCGTTGCCGCGGTGGCCTCCCAGCGTTCAGTCGGGCGTGTCCTTCTACAGAAGGAATATTCCCAAATAGTCCAAACATAATCATGGGACGTTTTTCGAGTTTTTTTTTTGAGTGTGTGTGTGTGAGAGAGAGAGACAATGTGTGAATATTTTTGGCAAGTTTTTCGTCGAAGATCGGCCTGTAGGGGGACATGCCCGACTTAATCCCAGCGCCGCGACGGCACTCATCGCGGCCCTCTGCACGGCGGCCCTGCGCCCAGCGCGCGGCCGCGGTGTGGTTGGGTTCGCGCACGCCGGCGGGGTGCAGCTGCACCAGCGGGCCTTGACTGGGACGTGCGCGCGGGCGGGGGACGGGATGCGCGGGAGGAAGGCGAGCAGAGGCGGAGGAGGAGGAGGAGGAGGAGGAGGCGGAGGAGGAGGCGGAGGAGGCGGAGGAGGGGGAGGATGAGGGGGAGGAGGAGGAGGAGGAGGAGGAGGAGGA